AAATACTAAAATAATAACAAGTATCAATTTTATATCGCTGTTTACTTTTTTAATATTTAATTTAGTTTTAATTTGATATTCATTTCGTTACTGTGGCATACACATGAAAAAAAAAAGAAATAATCTGTCACGTTTTATATATTTTTCTGTTACCTTTATTTTATATTTATCTCTATTTTTATGAATGTTTATCTATCTTTGTCGCTATTAATGTGATAAAATATACAAATAAATTATCCATCTATCTAAAATGGTTAACTGGTATAGAATACTACTAGCATTAGTCACCTTTTATACCATATTTTTTTAATGAAAAGGGTTAAACAATATAATTATAAATCCTTATTTATTTATTAATAAATAAATTTTAAATTTATTCAATTCTAAACGAATTAAAAAAATATGTACATAAAAAATGAATGGGTTTGAGTGAATGGAAAAGTTACCAAAATGCAAAATTCAAATTTAAGAATTTCGCATTATAATTTTTAATTAACTCACTGAATAACTAGACTGACCCGTTGAACGAGAAAAGTGCACATCTTCGATATAATCGACTAAACGGTTCTACAGTTCGCTCGCAAATCACGAGTTAATTGATTATGGATCCTCCAGAATCAATTCATTTAAAAACTATCCTAATAATGAATTTTTATTTAATTTTAAAAGAAGAAGATTCTGAATTAGTCTGTATTTTTATTACAAAAACATTTTGAAACCGATATATTTTATTCCAATGTTATTCTCATATTAATTTTGTAGAATTTTTCTTTACTGGGCAAAATACATCTTGCTGCAAAACAAAATCTTAGATACATGAGTTTGTATTCAAAATCCATAGGTTTCGATTTTGTTAATTAGTAATGTATCAATTTGTTTAAAAGTTGTTTTCATTAAAAATACACGTTCAATCAAAGTAAAAAAAAATACTAATAATAACAAAGTATATACGGTTCACGAGTTTCTGCAGTAGTTTATATTGCAAAACAATAACTCTACAGTCGACAAATGTCAATACCACTTGAACATAACCCACGTGTGGCGATACACGTATCGCTTACAAATCACTGTTACATAGCAATCAGGACAGTGCTGGCTTAGACATCTTATTTATTTATTTATTCCAATAACTTTACTGACCAAAATAAAATATAAAAGGCAGGCTTAAAGCTTATAGCATTCTCCACCAGTCAACCCTTGGGATAAACAGTAATATGCAATGTGCGTGGTACTTCATTATTAGGGTAAGTAAAAATAAAAATAATTTAAAAAAGAAAAAGATCATTTAGGGTAATTCTAACTAATCTCAAATCCTCTACATGGTTTTTCTAAATTTAAATTGACGCCAATTATGCGGGCGGCAGATTGTCTTTAATTCTATATACCTGAAGACAATTACTGTATCGCCACTTTTCCTTTTTTTATAATAGCCTTAGTAATATTATAAATGTGAAAATCGGTGTATTTGTTTAGTACTTCTTAGCCGAATCGCTATGAATAAGTAACCAATTATTATGAAATTTGGTATATACATACTTTATGAATTTAGAATGGGCCATCCCTTCATTCCCGTTGGTGTCATAAGAAACAACCAAAGTAACTTAATGGTCGAATAATGAGCAGCAGCGTCCCTCTTAAAACATCATAAAAACCTTACTGCGGTTGCCAACCTGCCTACCAAGCGTGGCACAACTGGTAAAAGTCACCTTATGGGGAGGCCTATGTTCAACAATAGACAGTTAAAGACTGATATAATAAAAATTCTATATGAGATGGAGAAGGACAAAGGCTACTTTTTATCTAATTAAGGAAAAGTGGTAAATTAGAAAAAGTGTTTACGATTATTTTATAAACGTCAGTTAGGAGGTGTAGATGGTAGGCCATCATAATGCCACCCTGAACATACATACACTCGTCTCGCTTTACCAAACCCGGTACTGATAGCGTTCACTGTGAGTGCGTTATTTGAATACTAACAACCAAGTGACTTCACCATTACCAGCTTCGGTCTCAACTAAGGTCAGCGGCCGAAAGTGAAACCCTTTGTCTACCGCCGATTTTTTATTTGCTCTAATAATAAATATAACAAGAATTTTGCTAAAAATTATCTGAATATATATAAATTCCGTGTCGCAGTATTCTTTCACACTAAACACCGAAACCATACAACCAATTTAAATAAAATTTCGTCAATTTGTATTGTTTGTCCAATTTAAGTGATTGAAAACATGGATCCGATAAACAGTAGTAAGGAGCAAAAGAACGTTTGCCGAGTCCGCTAGTATGTGTAACATTACAATATTTTTATCTAAAGAAAAAGTCGTATAAAATCAGAAACATCGTATATCAGACCATTTCCTTTAACTTAGATGTTGAATCTTTTCGACTGAGCTGGTATACAATGCGAACATATAATAATAGCCAAGTATCACATTATATAACTTAATTTTATGTTTTATTACGAAATAATCTAATATTTTAAGTACAAAAAAATCATTAAATAGATGAAGAAAAATGCAAATTTGTAGCTTTAAATTTTGGACATAGGTAAATTTTGTTGTCTTACAATTACATTCACTAATAAAAAGAAGTATGATTATGTTTATTATATTTTATGTACGTATTATTTATTTATTCGCTGTTTCAATAATAATGTCTCTAAAAAAATATCCTTCTTTATTGATGTGTTCAATGTAAAAAATTCTGTTCTATTAGTATAACTAAATCGTGTATACAATGAACTTTTATTTTACAATACTCCTAAACTATAAGAAACTTTATGTCAGAGAATATTAAGTAGATACTTATATTAACAAGTTTGTGCGGCACAGAGTAAGAAATAACTTAAAATGACTTTCTCAGAAATCCCTAACAACGGTTCTTCGAATAAGGAAACTAACTAAAACGTCAGTCTAATAGATGGAAAAGTTTAATAAAACATTATACGTGTAAGCATTATACATATCAAGCAATTAAATTAATTACGTTTTTCTAAATAAATTAAGAAAAAAAGAAATTTAAATGTTACTTAATTTAGGAGAGAAACTGGTTGTGAAAATCGCGTTCAAAGTGATCTTGAAAGTTAATGTAATCCTAAACTGTTTGAATATAATATAAACACTTTCACGTAGATATGAGTACAAGTTCAAAGCCTAATTTAAATAAACAAATATAATTCAATATAAACTTTTGAAATTAAACAAATATTATTCCGACAGTTTCTAAATAATTATAAAGTAAATTATATTTCTATCAAACACTTTATTATTTATTTTCAAATTACGTATTTTATCTTTACTAATATTATAAATACGAAAGTGATTTTTTTAATGTTACCTCTTAGCACCTTAAGGGCTTTACTAATTGCTTTGTATAAATTTAATATATAAGTTCTGTATAGAATCAAAAATGACATAGGCTACATTTTATCTTGGTCAATTAACATATCCCGGTCACGCGGACGAAATTGCATGTAAAAGCTAGGTATGTCTGCTGATAGAAAATGTTGTAAATATATATTGCAAAGTATAAATAAAAATCATTAAATATAATATAAACAATTGAAAAAGGCATGCTCATGACTGTAATCCACAATAAGATAATCAGAAGCATTTTACATATATCCCCATTGAAGAGAATGTAATATTCGACATACTTATATTTCACTGAATATTTTAGAATCTTACAAATCAGGGGCGAGCCTAAATATATAAAGTAATATAAGTATCTTATCAGGTCAATCTTTTCACAGTTTCCTAATGTCTGTTGTATAAACCAAAATCTATAGTAAAACCTACTGGTGAGGTCACTAATGCTGCCGAGTACTGACCACCATTATAAAGGCTCTATGATCTTCTTTATCAATGAGAAATTTCTATTATAACGTTTACACCCACATCTACAGTTACAATCAAAATAAAACATCGATATATCAAATCAGGTACAATAGTAAATCAATGCATTACCCTATCACGTTGGTAAGTACTCGTACTATGAGAAGACACCGTGAAAATCGACTATTCCAAATGTTATGCCCTCCCCACGATTCAACCTTCAATATTTATCGGCATTTAACATAACCTGGTTCTATTCTGGCTAATGTAACATTAATACCTAACGATACATATAATTACATTTATGACATTAAAAAGGAATTTGAAAATTAATACAAACGTACATATATATACATATAGTTATCAATGTATTTTAAATTTTGCATGCCAAATTGTGGCGAAATTTGTGAACTTATCCTATTATTATTACTGTATTAAAGATTATTTAAAATATAAACATAATTTTATAAAATGATTTGATATTAAGAATATTGTAATTAGAAATTTTGTAAAATCAATGTAATAAAACCAAATACAATTTAATATTTGCATATCCCTATGGGGTGCTGCATGTTATTTACTTACTCATATATGTAACACCTTATTTCACTGTGTAACAAGCAAATAAATATGATTTGAATTTGAATAGTATATTATCATCAATATAGTATGCAAAAATATTAATTCTTTATAACTGTTACGGTAGGGGAAAATAATATAGTGCTCTTAACTCATTGTTGTTCTGTCAATTATCTAGATTATATGGAAAACATTGTGAAATAATTAATTGAAACATTCAATATTTTGTAAACAACAAACAAATGGCAATTAATCGATTTAAAGCTGTAATGGATATTGATAATTAAGTCGTATCGTAATTGAATAGATATTCCACATTTAAATATTTATTTAATATAAAATACCTGCTTTGTCTTCCTTACTTTTCAATTCCAATACAACTATTCACACAAATATATTATTATTTAGTAATTCACCGTTAAATTTTTATCGTATTATTTTTTCATTGCATATTTAAATACACTTAAGTCGAAAAATTACCGCAATTTTTTTTATAGATTTCAGATTTTTTTTTTTTTGGAATTTCTTTCAATATTTTTATCACATGTGCGTGTGGCAGTGTTGCGTGTTTTAGTATGCGGTACTCACGGTTGCGGTGGTGCGGCGTGCGTGCGATTGTGCGACATCGGTCGCTGCACCGCTGTTATATGCGCACGCGCACCCGACCACACGCTGCACAGGGTGTGCTGGGATCGCACCGTACATGATAATTTTTTTCCTGTTATTTTTTCCTAAATGCGACACAGGAAATAATTTTTGTTTACTTATTCAAAATTACACATACACAATTGTTATTCTCTAATACGTTAAAGTATTTTTTGTCTTTTTGTACATTTGTATTATTTAATTTAGTTTCTTGTATTAGTATTTATCAATTATTTTTAAAAGTGTCAATCGTATACAATTTGTTTTATCTCATTCTATCTATCTATCCATTTAAGAGCTGCGCTCTTGTCGGTGGAGCTCTTGCCACTCACTACAATTTTCAGCGAGTCTCTTCACCTCTTGATACGACACGACACCAACTCCTTCCTTGATCTGCCTGATGTAACTATGTCTCGGTCTCCCTCTCCCCCTTCTTCCTTCTATCTTACCTTCTATTATAATGTTCATACGTTCGTCGTGTCGTATCAAGTGTCCTAACATTTTTCCCCTTCTGTCCTCAATAGTTCTGTAAAATTTGTCTTTTTCCCTTAACCCTTATCTCATTATTTGCCCTAAATTAATAAAATTATTAAAAAACGCTACTGGCCATATCATACGAAAAAAAATATAGGTACATAAGTGATCAAAAATATCAAATAGAAAAAAATTACAGCCTTATAGCAGACAAAAGCTCTGTCAACCGAACGCATGATTGCGGCTTGAAAAATCCCAGTGTCTATCCCATAAACATCTGACATGAAGAAAAAAAATATAATTCATAATTAATAGGTATTATTTGAGATACATCGTCATATTTTACAAACATCAACCTGTATATAGATGAGCGGCACACCATCGACAATCCCCAAAAGTGCAATGTGTCAAACAATGAGATCAATGTTTGTAAGGTCAAGCAACGGTCTGTAAACCAGTATGCCCGGGAAACGGTCCAAATGCCTTATTACGCGGTAATAAAATTTATGTGGACCTTAAAACATTCCATTTTCAAGCCACCCTTATTTTTTAACCGACTTAATAAAGGAGTTCTCTAGTAAAATTTTATGTAACTTGAAATCCTCACAAAGACCTAAAAATAAAATGTTCACGACTGTAATCTCAAACGAGGGTATAAGAGGTATTTTTTTAAATGGATGATAATGAAATGGTAACTCCGCCTGCGCTAACGGTATGCGCTGGCAAGGCACCAATGAAGGATAATAGGTGAAGATGAAAAGGCAGGTCAGTTAGCCCATCGTAATGAATTCACTTGAAATTGATCACGATGGTTTTCAGGGAGAACCGCGAAGAGGTCGACTTTGCTAGTAATGAAGTTTTGCTAGTAATGAAGCTACTAATCCTCATTATTAGCAATCTGTTCTCTCCTATAAGAGGTATTTGCCAAACTTGTATCAGATCACATCAAATCAGTATTGCCTACGATAGTGGCAAGGAAGCATATGACCCCATCAGTTGGTAAATGCTAACCAAAGAGACTAAATAAGTTAGATATTTTACTTAAAATATATGGTCTCTGCCGAAGTCTACGGACGCCTGCATAGCCTGTGACCAAAGGTGACCCGACCCATGCGTACAGCCAATTTTTCTTACTACTCTTTTCAAAAACGCCTTTCTTTGAACTGTAGAAAAGCCCACTTAGTTTCGGAAGCCAAACCAAACCCTTTGTATTTTCAAAGATACTATACAGAAATATTAATAGGAGATATTTAAGATTTTTATAACAATTGTAGGTCTGTTTATTTGTATGATTGTTCCGACATCATGCAGATATCACTGCATCTATAATATAACTTTATAATATATAATGATTTTATTTTTGCACACTACACTACTTCTAGATAAGAAGTTATTACTTCCAAAATCCACTCGTACAAAGTAACAGATTAAAGCTAGTAAAGAAATACACACAATAAATTTTATAACATTATAATACTACTAATATAGTAACAAAAATACTAAAATCAAATTAGAAAAACTATAATATATCTAAAGATTATATACAAATACTAAAAATTTATTATGTTAATATAGTAATAAAAATATTCAAATTGTAAAATATCTAGAATAAGTAGATATACTAATTTTAAAAATAAACCCTAATAAACAAATAACATTTAACAATTCTAAATATAGTCTTAATTTTAAACAAAATTAAATAAGGGTACAAATTTCTTTTGACCATTCATCCCTTAAACGAAGCAAGGCCTTCTCAAGGTCTCGTCAGGGTTCACACTTTATTGTCCACAATTTATTGCTTTGACTTCAGACGCGTCTATGAATGAAATAATATTGAAAATCTTCAATCAGCCGTTTGTTCTTTATAAAAAAATTCGTCTTTAAAATTAATGATACTGTTATCAACTGATTTCAAAAAGAATATTTTTATTCCTCAATATTTATTTTATATGCTCTATAATTCTGGGTTGTTGATTGGATTGTTAATCCTATACTAATTTTGACTTTATGCTACTAAAAAAATTACTTATATTTCACAATAAATCCATAAAAATATTATTAATCATCAATTATTTACCTCCTATTTATTTATTCGATTGATCCAAATGAATTCACAATCAGAATAAACTTCTAAACCTTCTCATTACTTTGGTAATCTATACGTATCTATCGTAATAATAATGATTATAAGATTACAGGATGCAAAAATGTATATTGTGTCTTAGTTATTAGGGGTGTCATGATTATTTATTATTACGACATTAGATGTGAGGGGTATCATGGGCGTCATAGTTTATTTTATAATGAAGACGCTGTTCATTTCTAATGACAACGGTTATCAATCCATCAACTGGGCTGTCAGCTTAATTGCCATTTGTAAATTGCTTACAAAAGTTATTAAATTTGTCATTACTTTTAATATCTTAAACATGGCTATGAAGTTACAGGATACTGAGGCAAAACACTACAGTCCTCAGGAACGGCAACGCATAAGTGGTAACACAGGCATGACAGTATCTTCTGTGTTGTCCGTGGCACTGTTAATGTCTATAGACGACGGCTACCGCTTTCCATCAGGTGGACATTCGGCTTGTTCGTCTTTCTAAGTATCATAAAAAAATATAGCTTTCTGTTGGAATTCCAGTTTATATATACTTCCACATTAAGTAAGCACACATTGTTTATTTTTTGTTCTAATTTTAAATACACTGGCAATATAGTGACTTGCCACAAATAAATTATCACTTAAAAGTAACTGCATACCTGCCATTTCGTTTTTATTTTTGACTTGTTTGGCAACATTAAAACAGGATTCATTTACAAGATTTCGACAAATAAATTGATACAGCAGCCATCGGGACGGAGCGTAAAATCATTAAAAAATGAACATAAATTCATTTAAAAATTAAGGTCGTTATATATTCTCCTAAAAAAATAAATATTATTATCCAGAGAGGTAATGTTATCAAAATCTTTGGTACGCTACCTCGGTGTGTTATGTTAGAAGACTTAAGATATTTATGTAAGGTATTTATAAAACTACATTAAATTTTTAAAAATAAGTACGCTTATATATTTATAACAATGAATTTATATCCCCAAGCTGGACACGGGTTTGTTCCAATAAAAGAAGTCTGGTATTCGAGTTTTCCTTCTCTTTTCATCTGATGGTAAATTGTTAATAATCACCGTGCCACTGTAGGCTATGCAGATTTTTAAGAAAACTTATTACGATCTTTTTGGAGAACCTCTAAAAGAAACCGTTGACATTTAAATTACATTTTATTTAAAGTAATTAGATATTTAATATAATATAATTAATAATTATTATTATATTAATTATCTATTAATTATTATTGTTAATTCCTTGAAAGAGAGTAATAAATATTCAGAATCCCAGTTAGAACACCTAAACCTGAGCCTATTTCGAAATTATCCAATGAACTATTGAACTTAGAAATTCCTGGGTTTAATTCACGCGGATCGAAATGCTTTTGTACTACGAGAATCTATCTAATTATTTACTATAGGTAGGTATATGATAATGAGGCTAAATGATTAATTAAGATCTATTTCCTCCGGCATTGCCTGCGTAAATCAGTACATTAAATATCATGTACTAAGTTAAAATATAACCTACCCGTGTACCAAATTTTATTTAAATCCATTCGGCCATTTAATCAAATATACTAAAATCGGAACATTTATATAGAAACTTTCACATTTATAATATAATAAATAATTTAAAATTGTAGGTTTCTAGAATGGATGGACTGTGTGAAAGATGATATCGCCAAAATGGGAGTGAATGCGCAAATGACTGCGAATAGAGAAAAATCGAAGAAAAAAAACATATTACGCTGACTCCAAATAATAATTGATAAAGGGTAGGAAGATGATGATGAGTAGGTTTCTGGATATATTCTAATTAAATACAACAATAATTTTATTGATAATTAATAATTTTATTGAAAAGTAATAACGATATTTTTATTGATAAATTGATTGATATGATTCTTAAAATATGAGCTTCAAAAACAGTAGAGTAGGTAATTGATTTATTAAAAAGTTGTGTATTACATTATAACTAATGGTCGTCCCGTGGTCGAAATTCGACTATAACATACATTGTAATAAACGAATTTATTATGGTTATATTTGATATTCAGTAACATTATAAACAAATAAATAATATTAAAGACAAACAATATTAATCTATTCGCAATTTAACAGACTTTAACACTAAACAAAAGAGTATATATGCGTGTGTATGTCAAATACATGGTAGTGTGTGTAATTTTGTTTTTATTGCTATAATGTATTTTTTATGCATAAAGTTACACTCCTCTATATAAACTATAAGTGTGCCAAATTTCATACTCCTCTTACCACGCAATTTTCGTGAAAAAGTTACAAAGTTTTTGCTTCACGTATTAATATATAGATAAGTACTTAATAGCACCCATAGTTCTTCGTTCACTTTAAGCCGTCGATTCTATCAACAGTTTACT